GGATTCCTTGGGCTGAGTACTGTTATAACACCAGCACACATTCTTCTACCAAGAGAACCCCTTATGAGATTGTGTTTGGCAAACCTCCACACACACTTCTATCATATGTTCCAGGCACTTCACAAGTAGAGGCTGTGGATCAAGAGTTGCGAGATAGGGAGCTAGTTATCAAGGAGCTACGAGACCGATTGAATGAGGCTCAACAGCGAATGAAGAAGTTCTATGATGCTCATAGAACTGACAGAAATTTCAATATTGGAGATTTTGTATATCTCAAGTTGCAACCATATAGGCAAGTGTCCTTAGCCCTTCGAAGCAATCTCAAGCTATCACCCAAATAGCCATGCCAACAAGGAGAAGCTATTGGGCCATGGGACTACAAAGAAGGTATCCTTTACTTCAAGAATAAGATTTATTTAGCAGTTGATTCTACTTTGATTCCTCTTATTTTTTTGCAGACATATACTAGTACTCATAAAGGGTATCACAATACTTTGCAAAGAATAAGGTCAGTTTTTTATTGGCAAGGCATGAGAAATTTTCTGCGAGAGTATATCCGTATTTGTGAAACTTGCCAAAGGAACAAGGGAGAGAATCTCAAGCCCGCTGGATTCTTACAGCCACTTCCAATTCCTACGCAAGTATGGTCAGATATATCAATGGACTTTGTGGAAGGTCTGCCTAACTCAAAGGGGAAATGTGTTATTTTTGTAGTAGTTGATCGGCTCTCCAAATTTGCACACTTTGTTCCTCTCTCTCATCCGTACTCTGCTGCTTCAATAGCTCAGGTTTTTTTTCAACAAATCTTTAAATTGTATGGCATGCCTAAAAGCATCGTATGCGATAGAGATGCCACCTTCACTAGCATTTTTTGGAGAGAGCTTTTTAACTTGCAGGGAACCAACTTCAACTTTAGTTCCGCAAACTGACAGGCAAACCGAAGTGGTCAATCGAACAATCGAGATGTATCTTCGTTGTTTCACAAGTCATAGGCCGAAAGAGTGGGTTCGCTGGATTCCTTGGGCTGAGTACTGTTACAACACCAGCACACATTCTCCTACCAAGCGAACCCCTTATAAGATCGTGTTTGGCAAACCTCCACCCACACTTCTATCATATGTTCCAGGCACTTCACAAGTAGAGGCTGTGAATCAAGAGTTGCGAGATAAAGAGCCAGTTATCAAGGAGTTACTAGACCGATTGAATGAGGCTCAACAGCGAATGAAGAAGTTCTATGATGCTCACAGAACTGACAGAAATTTCAATGTTGGAGATTTTGTATATCTCAAGTTGCAACCATATAGGCAAGTGTCCTAGCCCTTCGAAGAAATCTCAAGCTATCACCCAAATATTATGGACCATGCGAAATTCTTGATAAAATTGGACCAGTGGCATACAAGCTCAAACTACCAGAAAACTCAAGGCTTCATCCGGTGTTCCATGTCTCTTTGCTGAAAAAGAAGGTGGGGATGAATGTGGAAACTTTGGATTCTCTTCCCATCATTCCTGAAGAGGGTAATACAATTGTCCCTTTGCCTCAAGCCATCCTAGATCAAAGAAAGAAGAAAAACAGAGAAGAAGTTTTGGTTCATTGGCAAGGATTGTCACCTTCCGACGTCACATGGGAAAATCTGGCTGAGCTCCGTTTGCGATTTCCTGAAGCTACCCTTGAGGACAAGGGTGTTGTCTAGGGGGAAGGCATGTTATGTTTCCAGTAGAGCAGGACTTCAGTTGCAATAAATTAGTTGAATAAGTCTTTACTTGACATTAGGAGAATTTAAATTTCAAATTCAGGTTTATCAGTTGTTAGGTTGTTCCTATTTTGTTGGGTTGTTTCAAGTGTAGTGAGATAGTGGATTTGTTCCTATTTTAGTGTGATATTGGCAGCTGAACTTTAGCAGAATGGTTCACTTTATTTTCTATATATTGTACTGATCTTAGTTGGAAATAATTATCCAGAATTTTATTCCACACTTGTGTGATATTGGAGGATTGGGTTTCTCTCGAAGTAAACCCCTTTTCTTTTTGATTTCCCTGTTTCCAACTCTCTCCTTGCAACTCTGTTTTTGTTGTCTATCCTTTCTAGCAAAAATAGGTAAACAGAAGAACAAGAACATCAGCTCTATTGCAGTCGCACATAACAGATAACTATATGTTTAGATTATTTTTGTTATATAAAATTGGACCACAAATATAATTTTAAAAATCATTCAAAATTTTATCCAAAATTGAATGTGTGGATAAAATTTATTTAAAATATAACCTGCAATATATTAGTTTTAAATATAAGCCATATATTCCATGTTTTGAAAAAAAAAATTATTCAATTCTCCGAATAACTAAGATAATTATTGCTATATATTCTTTCCCAAGTGATTTATATGCCCTCCCTTTTTTTTCACGTGTGCTTGTGTATAATAAAAAAAATATTTTTAAAATATTAATATTTTTTCTATTTCATTTATAAAATATTAATTTATATCTAATTAGTTTTTTTATTCCTTTTTAATTTCAGCACGTGCATCCGATTGAAAATGATTGTCCTAATTAATAATCGTTGAATTTTTAATTGATGTGCAAAAAAATCATTTTAAGATTTAAATAACATAAGTGAAGATAGGAAAAAGAGGGAAGATGAAGGAGGATAGGGCTGTGGAGGAAGATAGATGTTTAGTTGTATGCTGAAAGATATCTAATAAGGTATAATAGCATCTTTAATGGTGTGTTATATGACTTGTTATTGCTCTATTTTGTCTTGAAGCTTTTAAATTTCCAATCCAACGGTAAGGCATATGACTTGTTATATATTACCTATGAATAAACATTGTATCAAATATAGCACAAGTTTTACCTATAACTAAAATCTTTGCGTCTCTCTTTCCTCTAAAGATCCATATATAGCATTTTAATTTGACATTTTGTGTGAAAAGTTGAAAAATTTTACATTGTATCATTGGAGAAAAATTGTTAAAATCAAATATTTGAATACTATTCATTGCGAAATTGGAACAATACCTAGCTCTTTACCTATCCAACAATTGGAGGTGCTCTAAGTAAGAAGATGAGTATAGTCTCTATCGATGGTAAACTTCTTTGCAATCTCAACCAGTCTAATGGTGGGAATGGTGGGTGGAGGGAGTCGATGGATGGTGGTATGGGGTGATAGGTGAGGGTGACACCTGGATGGTGAGTTGTCGATAGGAGATGCAAAGAGAGGGGAAACGGATGAGCGGTGGAGGAAGGAAGGGATTTAATACGATAAGGTATATAGTAAATAAATATATAAAGAGTGGTTTTGATTTACTAGAAGAGTTATTTCTCGTTTGAAAATCTAACCTCCATAAATAATTGTCCTTATTTTACCTAAAAAACTAAATTGAAGAAAAATTTGTTATAATTAAAAGGAAACATCTTCTCGTCAACTGGGTTTCTCAATTAGAACACATTATTGGACCTCCATGGATCCACCATGAAATCCAACTCAATAATTTGAATTGTTCAATGCGTAAAACTTATCGAGAATCAGATATAAATAGTCACTTGATTAGATCACATTTGTGTTAATAATTTATTTTTAAAATTATAGTTACTGAACACAAATCTGACTTGATCAAATAGCTATCGATATCCGATCAATATGACTTTTTGCAGGGATAAAATATTCGACGAGCTCTACATATTGAGCAGTTCAAATTATCGATCACAGCTTCATGATGGGCCCACGGAGCTCAACAACACTCTCCAATCCGATTTTCAACTAGAGAGAAGCCTACGCCAATTAAAATGATAGAGATCAAATTGACACTCAAGTGAAATTACAAGGGCTATTTATAAACAGTAAAATATATTTTTAAGTACCAAAATATGGGTCTTATGTTATTTTGGTCTTTAATGTTCAAAGGGTAAATTACAAATATACCCTCTGAGGTTTGATTAAAATACGGATCACCCCTGTGGTTTTGAAAATTACATTCCACCCCTTGAAGTTTCTAATTTCATAACAAATCGCCCCTTTTATTAATAAATCATCAAGTCAATTAACAATTTTTAATAATGTTAAAAATATGTTTCAATTAATATTTTAGGTAATTTTATTATTATATAGGAGAGCAATTATGAATTTCATTTTAATTCTGTTAAATAAAAAATTCTAACAAGGAGATATTTGTAATTTTTCAAGCTACATGGGGCAATCTATATTTTAAGCAAACCTCAGGGGGTGTATTTGTAATTTATCCATGTTTAAATTATGTCAATTTGATTCCCAATATATAAATGTGTTTTAATTTGATCCTCAATATTTAAATTATATCAATTTGATTTCCAATGCATATAAAAAATATTTCAATTTAGTGGCCCACTTTCCCTCTTCTAGTTTTGTTAATAGACACAATTTAAGCATTAAGAGATTAAATTGAAATATTTTTTATATATTGGTGACCAAATTGATATAATTTAAACATTGATAATTAAATACCTTTACACATTAGAGACCAAATTGACACAATTTAAATATTATGATCAAAATTACCTAAAACTCAGACATGGAGAACTAAAAATAATTAACCCAAATATATATATATATATATATATATATAGTTTAATAAAAGAAGAATGAAAGGTACTGAAATTATGTGGGGTCTTTGGGCAAATACACATGATGGTCCTACTTGATATTTTATTGGTTAAATTTGTGAGGCTTAATAGTTTTTGTTATGATTTTAAAAAATAATATAACGAATATTAAATTATAAATGGTGTGAAATAATGTTTTAATACCACAAAATAATCGTTCAAAAAAAGGGTGTAAATGAGGAAAAACAGTAAGCTTCACCATTGACACGGTTAAAGAAGGTGGTCTTGCCAGGTATGATGAGGCAAAACCCTTCAACAGACACGTATCAGCAACCCTGATTTATTAGCTACCTCCATTGAACCTGACCTCCCTCCTCTCTTATCCTCTCTCATCTCCTGCTTCTTTGGTCTCGCTATATAAATACTCATATCTACACACAAAACCTAGTCTCATCACCAATCCTCCTCCCTTTCCAAAGCTTATCTGCTATACTATACCCCCAAAAAATACAAAAACATTTCAAAAATGTTGAAATCTGTGGTGAATTTGAGAGAGAAAAAACAACAGCAACAGAAAAACCAGGTGGTGAAGAAACCTGATCGAGCAACTTCAAGAAAGGGGTGCATGAGAGGGAAAGGAGGTCCAGAGAACGCTTCCTGCACTTACAAAGGGGTCCGGCAGCGGACTTGGGGTAAATGGGTTGCCGAAATCCGTGAGCCAAACCGCGGATCCCGGGTTTGGCTAGGCACCTTCGACACCTCCCTTGAAGCCGCCATGGCTTATGACTCGGCGGCCCGTAGACTCTACGGTCCAGGCGCCAACCTCAACTTGCCGGAACTCTATGCCGCTACGACTCGGTTTTCAATTTCTGGCACCAATATCCCAATCAACCCCCATCAAGAAAGCTCGGACTTGAGCAGTGCAGGTTCATCGGAGAGCCATTTGTCAGGACTCACCGATGAATCTGTATCTACTGTTGCTGCTACGAGCTTTCCTGGTGGGGATATGGGTGTTGAGTCTCGGAATAAGAGGAGAGTTGGCCGAGAGGAAAGGGGAGATGATGGATTCTGGGGGAATCTGAATGCTGAGTTGCCGGAGTTTGATGACTCGGCTATGTGGGCAGAGGCGACAGCGACGATGGATTTTCAGGTGATGGCAGGGCCGGGGACTTCTGTCGGAGACTTTGAGGATGGGAAGGGATGGGAAGCCATACAGTACCCTTCGTGGCACTGAAGCTTCTCACCCTCACTTTTATATGTGCAAAATTTGATCACATCACATCACATCACGTGAGGTCGGACTTATGTGAAAGAGTTGTGGTTAGATTCTGTATACTATTTTAATATATATATATATATATATATATTAATCGCTATATAAGATTAAGAAAATATAAGAGAAATAAATAGTGTAAATGTGACTTTTGTTTCAAATTATGTACGCAACTATGTGAATTAGCAAAAATATGCTTAGCTTGTATAGTTTTGAATGCATTTATAAAAAGAGAAAAGTTATGGATCATAAAATTTTTTTTATAAAAATGATTATGAAAGATTTATAATTTTTGAATTACCTTGATTAGTGTGTGGTACTTTATTCTAAATGTAATCCAAGAATCACAAAATTTTCATAATTATTTTCATGAAATTTTTTTCATGATACCAAGCATTGCTGTTATAAAAATTCACTTGTTATCTATGCCAAGGTTTGGTTGGTTGGAAATGTGTGCCTCACGTGCAATTTTAAATGTTTTTTTCTCTGATTTTCTTTTTATATAGTATTTTTTTTTGGTGAATAATATATAGTTTTTTTTGATAACTAAGAAAATGGAGCTTAATGGTATACAAGTATTATCTATTTTATTATGACAAAATTTGGGTAATAATTTTTCGATATCACCAACTGTGTCAAAAAAAACTACATCACCAATGAATTCATGTTAGGAATATGATATATAAATTTATTTGTTAAATTCATTTTATAAACCCAATCATATATAAGTTTGTATATAATTAGTTAATAACTAAATAATATATAAGAGAATGTATTACGTTTAATATCTTAATTGATTAATACATTTGAAAATCGAGTCTACTTTTTTATCTTAAATAACAATGTTCTTGGTGTAATGGATTCTGTATTTGTGAAAAATTAATACTCAAATTTAATCATTATAATATTATTACATTATTCCAAACGAATGTAGCAATTAAGCGTAAATCACAAATAAATTCTTTGAGGTTTGATTAAAATATAAATTGTTCTATGTGGTTTTAAAAATTACATTCCACCTCTGGAGGTTTTTAATTTCATAAAAAATCGTTATTTTTATTAATAATTCATCAAGTCAATTAACAGTTTTTAATGATACTAAAAATATGTTTTAATTAACAATTTAGGTAATTTTATTATTGTATAGGAGAGCAATTATGAATTTCATTTTTTTAGTTAATTTTGTTACATAAAAAAATTTAACAATGGAGTATTTGTAATTTTTCAAACCATATAGGACATTCTGTACTTTAAGCAAATCTCATGAAGTGTATTTGTAATTTACTTATAGAATTTAATTAGTTTGGAGATAAAGAGGCATCTCTCCCATTCAAGTTTTATTTTGTTTTGTTTTTATTTTTTTTGTTTCTATTGTTTTTGTTTTTGTTTTTGTTTTTGGCGCAAATTCAAGTTTTGGACAAGTTTTCATAGTTGTGGGCAAGCCATTTAAATTGCAAGTCTCGTCTATCATATCAATAAAATAAAAAAAATAAATAAATAATTGAATATTAACAATAATTTGATTGGATCATATTCATTAAAAAAAATCAAATAAAATTTTAAAAATAAATTATCTATTTTTTTATACAAATATAACTGATCATGCGATTAGCAATATTCGATCTTAATTTTCCATATAGGTAATCAGCTTGACTAATTTTTCCTAAGCCAACAGTCATATAAACTTGACCCTCTTGATTGTTTTGAAAATAGTCCCCCTTTGGCCTCTCCATTTTTGGATGTTGATTGAAGTTAACGACTAAAAATAGAATAATAAATCACAACAACTAATAACTAGCTTTTGTGATTAAAAAAAATAAAATAAAAAATTAATAATAATGTGCCACTAAAAAAATTCTCCTCAAAAGCAGGAGGCCAACTAATCCAAATAAGAGAGAAATTTCAATGAGGGAGGGATCAACACCAGATCACCAGTGTTTTATTTATTTATTTATTTATTTTAATTATTAATAATAAGTACACTTACGTATCTGTCATTTTTCCAAGCAGGAATCAACCTATCATCACTTTGATAAGAATTGCTAAATGCCATATATATATATATACTAGTGGGTGGCACACACGATGTGTGTACAATTTAAATAAGTAGGAATAAAAAAAAATAATAATGAAATTAATATTGTAATGTGTACTTAGCTTAAGTAGTATGAGTCTTCGTACTTAAACCAATGGTCATGGGTTCAAGCCTTGCCCATCTCTTTGTTTAACTTTTTTTAAAAAAATAAAAAATACTGTCACATGGCATGAGGAGAGTAAAGCTTCAGACACCAAAGTTCCTGTTCACTTTATAATAGTATAGATATATATATAAGTGTATGTCCGTATCTAAAAGTACAGTATAAATAAAAATAAATGAATAAAAAGGAGAAAAAAAAAACAAATAGAGAAAAAAATAAAAATGGGAGAAAATAAAAAAAAAGAAAAAGAAAAGAGAGAGGAAGGTGGGATTATGGGATCATAGAAAAATGGGTGAGAAAAGAAAAAAATAAGAGAGAAAAGCGAGAAAGTAGAAAATGTACATGTAGGACATTTTTTGAAAAATATATCTCAGCCATTGTTTTATAATTTGAACAGATCTGAACCATCTAAATATCTTAATAAGACAAAAATATGTTGATTCAAAAACCGTTCTGCTTTATTATATGGATATATTAGGGTAAAACTTACCAACGCTCTTTAATGAAATTAAATAATAATGAAATTAATATTGTAATGTGTACTTAGCTTAAGTAGTATGAGTCTTCGTACTTAAACCAATGGTCATGGGTTCAAGCCTTGCCCATCTCTTTGTTTAACTTTTTTTAAAAAAATAAAAAATACTGTCACATGGCATGAGGAGAGTAAAGCTTCAGACACCAAAGTTCCTGTTCACTTTATAATAGTATAGATATATATATAAGTGTATGTCCGTATCTAAAAGTACAGTATAAATAAAAATAAATGAACAAAAAGGAGAAAAAAAAAACAAATAGAGAAAAAAATAAAAATGGGAGAAAATAAAAAATAAAAATAAAAAAAGAAAAGAGGGAGGAAGGTGGGATTATGGGATCATAGAAAAATAGGTGAGAAAAGAAAAGAGTAAGAGAGAGAAGCGAGAAAGTAGAAAATGTACATGTAGGATATTTTTTGAAAAATATACCTCAGTCATTGTTTTATAATTTAAATAGATCTGAGCCATCTAAATATCTTAATAAGACAAAAATATGTTGATTCAAAAACCGTTCTGCTTTATTATATGGATATATTAGGGTAAAACTTACCAACGCTCTTTAATGAAATTACAAAATCTCCCCTAAAATTTTTAAAGTGACTTAAATCTCTGTTGAGGTTCAATTTTCAATCACATTGTCCTTCAGTGAGGTTTAATGAAATTGAAATGTAAAAATCTCCCCTAAAGTTTTTAAAATGATAGAAACCTCCATTGAGATTTAGTTTTTAATTACACTTACTTCTCTTGAGATTTAATGAAATATTAGAAAGTTCCCTTAAAATTTCTAAAATCACAGAACCCTCTCTTGAGGTTAGTTTTTTATATTAGATTTTCTCTTTTGTTACTTTATCATAAAAAATAACAGAAAATATTAAAATCATTAAATAATTTAATTATATTTTTAATTTACCCTTGAAAACTATGTCCAATTACAAGTAAATAAAAAACATAATTTTTATTTTCATTTTTTATTATTCCTGCAATTATTGTTGATTGTGTATGCCTTTTTTTAAATCAAAAACTCCTTACATCGTAAAACAAAATAATAATAATAAAAAAAATGTTAATATCATTAAATAATTTAATTGCATATCTAATTTAACATTGTGTCTAAAAAAAAAAAAAAAATCTTATCTTGTTTTCTTTGTTATGCTTGTAGTTATGTTAATTATGTATGCCTCTTTTATCCAAAACCCCAATAGAAATTATATATACATATATATATCTTTATTATTGGACACAATTTTAAATGGTAAAATTGAAAAAAAAAATTAAATTATTTGATGATTTCAACATTTTCTGTTATTTGTTTTACCATAAGTAACAAAGAGGGAATATATAATCGTTGGCTACATATTTTGTACAAGTCAATTACAATTCGACGCGTGACAAAATAAGGGTAATACAAGAAGACTATTCAAGTCTTCGATCCTGATCGTACACGTGGCAGTTAGTATTGGTTATTACGAAATCTAAGTAGCAGTGGATCAATAAAGAGATGTAAGGTGATATGGCTTCAACGGTTACTCACATTTCAATTCAAATTTAGTAGGAAAGCCTAACTGCAAGTGATGGCACAGTGGAGCTAATTATAAAGCAACATGATCAGCGATCATGGAGGAGCAGTTCGACGGTTGAAAATACAGTTCGACGGTCATCCTTAAGAAGTATAAATAGCAGAGAAGACCTAAAAAAAGACCCCCAGATTTAGATCCAAAAAACCAGTCTTATTATACTTATTATTTTTCTTTCCAGTTTTTTACATTTCTAGTCTTACACTTCCTGTTCTTTACGTTCTTGTGTTCTAAATTCCTACACTGCACTTCGTTCATAGGAGTAGTTTCAAGTAGATTGTTGCTGTAAACCTCTACGAGGCTGAATTTGGATCATTGTAAGTTTTTCATTTTAATGAAATGTTTCAACTATTCTTCATTTAATTTTCATTTTGCTTAATTCTCCTAAATCAAGCCACCAGTAAAAGTCCTCTTCAGTGAGGCTGAAAGAACTAAAACACAATCATCTGATAATTGGTTGTCAATTAATTTTCTGTAAAGACTGATTGATCCTTGCTAGCACGCTCGCAATTACAATAATAACCTTCGACAGCCAAAAAGTCAACATATATTTTTGGCACGCCCAGTGGGACTGATTGAAATGGCTAGACGTAGGAGACAATGAGAAAATGAACGTTTGAAAGAAGGCGTGGAAGGAGAGGTAGAAGTGCCCAATC